ATCCCCGTGGACACTTGTTGGAAATAGATTTAGAAATATATATGTATGTGTGTATGATTGTATGTATATATATATGTATATATATATATATATATATATATATATATTTTTTTTTTTTTTTTTTTTTTTTTTTTTTTTTTTACAGCCATTCATTCCACTGCAGGACATAGGCCTCTCTCAATTGTCTATTGAGAGGTTATATGGCAGTGTCATCCTTGCCTGATTGGATGCCCTTCCTAATCAACCGCGTTTCGGCTGCGGCGGTGACTTCCCCTACGACACCTGCGTTTGACTTCTCAAGGCGATATGTCGTTTTCTCGGGCTCGAGCAAGCAGTCAGAGCGCAAGTATTTTTACGACCGCCGCGACGGGGATTGAACTCGGGACCACGAGGGACGGAGTCCAGTGCTCTAACCATTGGGCTATCGCGGCAGTCATATATATATATATATATATATATATATATATATATATATATATATATATATACGCACATACATACACCCATACACACACACACACACATGTGTGTGTGTGTGTGTGTGTGTGTGTGTGTGTGTGTGTGTGTGTGTGTGTGTGTGCGTGTGTGTGTGTGTGTGTGTGTGTGTGTGTGTGTGTGTATGTGTGTGTGTGTGTGTGTGTATGTGTATGTGTGTGTGTGTGTGTGTATGTGTGTGCGTGCGTGTGTGTGTGTATGTGTGCGTGCGTGTGTGTGTGTGTGTGTGTGCGTGTGTGTGTGTGTGTGTGTGTGTGTGTGTGTGTGTGTGTGTGTGTGTGTGAAGGCGGCTAATTTCGGCTTGATAATTAATTAACGCCTGGCCTGGGTCCTTTACCAGTCCTTGCACCTTCTCCGTGGTTCACCTTTCACTCATTTGTTCACTTGCGGGAGAGAATGGAACACAAGAACATTTTAACCAATTTATCAAAATAACATATACCCCTATACTAACCTATTCTAAATAGTGTGACCAACACAACATTCGCAACATATAAATGATGCTCCCTCTCCCTCTCCCTCTCCCTCTCCCTCTTCCTCTCCCTCCCACAATAGGCACTCGGGTGGGCACACAAGTCACGTCTCTTCTGTCCGGGGGCTAGAATCAGGGTGTGTCTTTGTGTGTTAAAGAGTAACCACTATATAAATTGAGTGTATGATATTCATCTCAGAATTTGTTCTTGTACCTCCAAATATGCATAAGATCAAGAAAAATTAATTTAAAAAATGCGTTTTATATTTATAGCCTTTTGAATGAACAAATTTTGGGCCTAAAACGTCGTCTGCTACAGCTTTAATTCAAATATTACCAGCAGCGCCACCAACCCGGGAATGACGTCATGAGGTGTTCATTTTCTTTATCATCGCCGTGAATGCATAGATGAGAACCTTTTGTGTGATATTTTCGTGTGATATTTTGTATGCAAATGTCCTATTGTCCACCAAATATGGATATATATATACATACATATATATATATATATATATATATATATATATATATATATATATATATATATATCCATATTTGGTGGACAATAGGACATTTGCATACATAAACAATTTACGTTTATTCCTTTATTAGTTTATGAGTCACAGCAGGCGGAAAAAAAGAAATAGATGTGGCATTCACTGTTGCGGCTTCGGGAAGCGGTCGTCTTTGCACTCACTAGCACTTGGAGGCGTCGACGGGGGCGAGGTGGTTGCTCGTAATGGTCGTGGCACTGAGCCAGCTTTCGTAGGGCGTGGCACCGGGCAGGTCGTCGCCCAGGTAGTGGCAGCTGCAGCCGTACATACGGTCCACCCAGGCGATGTCCCCGGGCGAGAGGTCGACCCGCTGGCCCATGTTTTCCTCCCCGGGGCCCCGCGGCAGCATGGTGCAGGTGGTCTTCTCGGTTTATGATGTCTGGTTTCTGTAGTGCATGACGGAGCTGAGGTCGTACGGGAGGCCATACGTCTCGGAGTACATTATCACGAAGCTCAAGACTTCGTCCCTCTTGATGTTCTCTTTGTAGACGTGCACGTGGTCGTTCCTGTCGGAGCGCTGGTGCATTAGGAGCAGGCCGATGGCATGCAGCAGCTCGTGCACCAGGATGCCGTGGAAGAAGCACCTTCTGACATCCAAGGTCGTGATGGCCTTTCCTTACTGTGGGAATCCGAGGAAGGACCAGCAGAGTTCTTCCTGGTTGGAGAGCACCGACAGGAACGTGGCCTGAGCGCCGAGGGGGCTGAACCTGACGCAGGTTTGGCGCTCGATGGCGTCCATGGCCCGAAGGATCCGAAGTTGCTGCATGGGCGTGAAGGCGGCGTCGAGCACGTAGGGGACCTGTGTGTGCGCGCGCGCGCGTGTGTGTGTGTGTGTGTGTGTGTGTGTGTGTGTGTGTGTGTGTGTGTGTGTGTGTGTGTGTATGCGTGCGTGTGTGTGTGTGTGTGTGTTTGTGTGTGTGTGTGCGTGTGTGTGCGCGTGTGTTTATGTGTGCGGATAAGTGTGTGTATACTTGTCTGTTTATGCATGAGTGTCTACGCGCGTGCGTGTGTGTGTGTATGCGTGTGTGTGTGTGCGTGTGTCCATGTGTATGCTATGTATATTTGTATGAACGTTCGCGCTAATAGACATGTGTGCGTTACTTTGTGTGTATATGTGTGTATATGTACGCGTGTGTGTGTTCCTTTGTGTGGGTATTGGTGTTTATGCGTGTCTCGATAGAGTGTGTGTCTGTGTGCGTGGGTGTGTGTAGGATTTATGTATGTGCGTGAGCGAGTAGTTATGATAATGTCAGTACATTGGCATTTATGGTAGAAATAATGAAAATAATAATGATGTTAAATCAGATAACCATGAAGATGATGATAATGATAACGATAATGATTATAATAAAAAATAAAATAATCATTATAATCATCATTATCATTATTATCTTTTTATTATCATCATTATTATTATTATTGTTGTTATTATCATTATTATTATCATCATCTTTATTATTATCATTGTTATTATTATTATTATTATTATTATTATTATTATTATATTTTATTATTATTATTATTATTATTATTATTATTATTATTATTATCATTATTATTATTATTATTATTATTATTATTATTATTATTATTATTATCATTATCATTATCATCATTATAATCAATACTATTATTATTACTATTATTATTAGCATTATGATCATCATTATGATCATCATTATTATTTCTATTATCATTATTATTATTACTACTATTATTATAATTACTATTATCATCATTATTATTAACATCATTATTATTGTTATTATTATCATATTATTACTGTTATTATTATTATTATTACTCTTATTATTATTATTATTATTATTATTATTATTTTATTATTGTTATTATTATTATTATTATTATTATTATCATTATTATTATTATTATTATCATCATCATTAGTAACATTATTACAATTTTTATTGTAATTATCATTATCATTATTTTTTTACTATTATCATTATCATTACTACTGTTACTATCATTAGTAATATTATCATTATCATTATTATTGTTATTATTATTATCATTATTATTATCATCATCATCATCATTCTTATTATTATCATTATCATTATTATTATTATTATTATTATCATTATCATCGTTACTAGTAGTAAAGGTAGTAGTAGTGTCGTTATTATCATTATTGTTATCAATATCATTATTTCTATTTATGTTATTATCCTCTTTATTATTATTATTATTATCATTATTATTATTATTATTATTATTATTATTATTATTATTATTATTATTATTACTATTATTATTATTATTATTATTATTATTATTATTATTATTATTATTATTATTATCATTATTATCATTATTACTATTATTGTTATTACTATTATTATTATTATCATTATTATTATTATTATCATTATTATTATTATCGTCATGATCAGCATTGTTATTATCATTATTATTATTATTATTATCATTATTATTATTATTATTATTATTATTATTATTATTATTATTATTATTATCATCATCATCATTATATTATTACCATCATTTTTTTTCAACCATTATCCTCATTATTATCATCATTATTATTTATCATTATTATTATCATTATTATTATTATTATTATTATTATTATTATTATTATCATTATTATTATCATTATTATTATTATCATTATCATTATTATTATCATCTCTCTCACTCTCTTCCTTTCTGTCACTCTCTTTCTCTCTCTCACTCTCTCACGCGCGGGGAAACAATGAGAGAAACAACCGAAAAATGGAGAGATACGCTTTGTACTGTGTGAATGGGAGAAATAGAGACAGAAATTAAGGTACACACTTAACATATGAATGAGTGGAAGGTAGCAGGGGAAATGGTAGTACTAGCACGGACTTCATTTTGATTAATTATTATGTTTTCTACCGTTTCGGAATGTTTATTGGCCAGCATCCATTCCCATTAAACGCGTTCTTTATATAATTGTCATTCCAGATATAATCATTTTCATTAACCATATAGGGTGCGTGACAGTTAATAGGAGACATGTGATATGATAAAGAATGTATTAGTTAGCACTGTGCTAATGACTGGAAAAACGCTTTTATACGTAAACGAATGTGGGTTATAACGTAAACATATATATTAACGTTGAGCAATAAAAAATATCTAGAAATATTTTTTTTTCTTTGCAGAGTGGACGATTTAGTATTATCGTTAACCTAAATTCCGTACTGTATACCACTCAAGTTAAAAATATCGTAGGGTGATGTGTTTATGATAATTTAGTATGCTAGAGTTGGAGAAAACATTACAACAATTATTAGATTATTGGCGATGTTAATGTCCTTGTAATTCATTATTTATCATAAATAGGGGATTGAGGAGCGTCTGTAAGGTTAGGTTAGCTCTCCCTTAGAGCTTTTTCTCCATTTTTTCAAGGGTTAAGGGTGAAGGTGAGAGCGCAATCGTGTAACATTGGTATGGGATGAGATATACTTTGAGTGCCTCTTGAATTGTCTTGTAATACGAGCGTAAGACTGTACGTCGCTCTCGGAATACATTGACGTCACAGCCTGTAGATCCTACGTGTGTATTCAGCCCTTTAGACTCTGAATATGACATCTATTTTCTTACGGCGGGCGGTAAATGCCCCCCCACCCAACCCCCACTGCTGCATACCATGGGAACTATAGAGAGGGCCCAAAGGTGACCATGTTTTCTTGACCAAAAGCCAGAGGGCTCGCCAGGCAGGGGTGTATAATAATCAAGAAGGACAACTTTGTACTTACATCCTGTAGTGGTAAAGGCTTTACTGGCTGATAATGGAAGTGAGATCGTAAAGCCAATGTATATCTTATGTATAGATAGAGCATACAAATAAAAAGTGTGTAGCTCTCTAGACAATGATAAGCGTACAATGAGAAGAGGGGGGGGGGCGGAAATGAAGGTGGAAAAGGAGGAGAAAGGAGAAGAAAAGTAAAGGACAGAAAGAGGAAAAAAGTACAGCGCTGTTCTGCACAAAATGATTGGCTTCCTATGTTTTTTAAGCAATCCATGGCTCTCTTCTACATTCTGAATGATGGTAATAAAGACGGTGTAAAAGCCTAATGAGATGCTGAGCCTAGAGTAAAGGCAGGGGTTGGCAAGCTTTTGAACAGTGTGCCAGTTATAACTAATGTCATTTTTTACAACCTCATGTGGCCAAGCGTATTTTTTAAGCATTATATAGCCTATCGATACTGAAATCATAATGAAACGCTCGATGTACGGCACACGACATTTTTTGTAGCAGCAAGCAAGCACTGTACGACTCTTCCGCCGAATATATCATAAATATATTCATAAATATTTGCCCATGATGACTGAAATGATCGGATATCAGGCGGCTAGTCACTGAAACTGCAGCGCTGCATGATTGAGGCATCAGCAGTGGCTTGAGAATGTCTCGTCAACATGAGACGTATCCACCTGCACCCCATCGCCAGAAGGAAACATTTCCAGTGTATAATAGGGAAAAAATGATTAGGAATATGCGAAAATTTAAACCATAAGAGTAACGATGTACATTGCTCTCTCTCTCTCTCTCTCTCTCTCTCTCTCTCTCTCTCTCTCTCTCTCTCTCTCTCTCTCTCTCTCTCTCTCTCTCTCTCTCTCTCTCTCTGTTATTTTGTTTGTTTGTTTTTTTCTTTGCTCCTTCGAATTACGTGGTTTCATAGACAAGCATTCAGTTGGAGTGAATCTGCGTTATATTGTAAAGTCGTCTAAGGGTGGCTATATAAAACATGTAGTTAGCATGTGGCAACCCGACAATATATTGCTCTTGCAGAGGGGACTGACTAAACAACAGTGGAATGTCTAGTGAGGCAAGAAGAGATGAATAAACAGGGAAAGCAATGGTCATGTGTATATGTGTATGTATGTGTGATTGTATGTGACAGATACTGAAGATTAAAGGCGTCTTTTTGTACGCGTCATGAAAGTTAATTCCGGATTAAAGTTAATCCACATCCACAGTACGTGCACAGAAGATGCAGGACACACTGCAAGCGCACGAGTCAATGCGATTATTAGCGAATCTGCTGTTTTACAAGGAAAAACGGGTATCTGTGAAATGAGAATTAGCATTCACCCTCTACAAGTTTCATATTACACGCTAATGTCGATAAGGAACCGTTTGTTACAGAGGAAAAAAAATATATATATACATATATGCGATAGTATTACATCATGCCGATATATATCTATGTCAGAACAAATAAAATTATATAAATGGCTTCAAGTAGCCTATAAATTTTATAGACAACCGAAATGAAGGTGTCAATCAAAAATGAGATACTTCTATTGTCAATTTATATTCGCGGGAGTTTCTTTTCTGCGTGTTGCTATCGAAGATCATGATAACAAATGTCTTTTTATTCGATTGTATATTACATAAGTGGGAATGTTTTTCCAACCTGGAAATAACATTGCCTTTTCTGTGTCTGTAAACTCTAGAATTCTATGTGGGGTTTTCTTTTCGTTTTCTTTTCAATGTTGAGTTATGTCTGCGTGTATATATATATATATATATATATATATATATATATTTATATATTTATATGTATATATATGTATATATATATATATTTATATATTTATATGTATATATATGTATATATATATATATATATATATATACATTTTTTTTCAACAGCCATTCATTCCACTGCAGGACATAGGCCTCTCTCAATTCAGTATTGAGAGGTTATATGGCGGTGTCACCCTTGCCTGATTGGATGCCCT